AAAAAAAAAAAAAAAAAAGGAAAAACAAAGTTCTAAGCGACGATTAAAATTATACGCGAAATATTTTTACTTTGTGGTTCTTTTTGTTTTCTAAGCGGCATGAACGAAAATCATAAACGAAAAATATTTTTAAGAGCATAGATTTTTTCTTACAACAAAATTGTTCGGTTTGCTATTTTTGTATTTTTTTTTTTTTAAAAAAGTAGATCTAATTGAACGTCTCGCTATTTCATTTTCTTCTTCTTCTTTTTTTCATTCATCATTTATCTATTTTCTAATCTATTTTGCATGTGCAGTAATAAATGGATCCGTTTAATATTGTACATTAAATCTTTCTTTGAAAACTATTAAATATAGTGTTATTTAAGATTGATAAAATTTAGAAAATAAATACATTACTACACGTTAATTAAATATTTAATCGTTTTATTAATAACGAGGGTAAATTAAACGAATAATAATAAAAAGAAGAAAAGAAAAAGAAGGATAAAGCATTGAATGTGTGATCCTATACTATTATTAATTATAAATAAAATATAATTTATTAACAATATATGTAAACGAAACACACATACCTTGAATACTTCCATACGTGTTAGTATAGCTGAAGAAGAACTGCATTTTTTCAAGTAATCCATACAAGTGCACTACACTATTAATTCACTACACTATTGATCACTATAAACTTAAATAATTATTAATTAATCGAAAGAAACGTATATAATAATGAAAAAGCACGGAATATGTATTTAGAGTACCGTCCGCCTCGGAATCCAACGTAGAACTGGTTCCTTGTCCGCTAGGAAAGTCGTTAGAAATTTTTTCTATTTACTTTTGTTACTATGGTTTGCCTTCAGGCTACATGTATACGTATAACGATGATAAACTACCGTATTCATACAGACAATGTTGAATAAAAATACTAACGTATATACAATATATGTTTAAGTATTAGTAAAGAACAATACTATGTTATAATATATATATAACATTTTATATATTAATATATAATATATAATAAATATATAAATAACGTTTGAGAGAATAAAATATTGTTGTAATGTAAGTAGAGTGTATTAGAGTATTAAAAAAATAGTAAATTAAATTAAAGAAATACGCGTATTGTTTTTTAAAAGCACGTAAAAACCGACAGGTACGTTGTCCTATGTCCTTTTTTTGGTCTGTTGTATTTTTTTTAAAAGTT